AAAATATCAAACAATAGAACACACAGAATTCAGTATTTCACAAGTCTCTACAGGGAATACTGTTTCTATGTATAGAAGCAATAAGAGAAATCATAAAGGAAAGACAGGTTTAACTGAGATAAACATGAATCCCATTATGGGGAAAAAAAAAATAAAACGATGTGACTACTGAGAGCGCCCCAAGGTGGGAGGGATGATCAGAAGCCTTATGCATTCTAAAATGGTTTTGTAGGTTCAGAGGATTTATTTCTTATTGGCAGACTAATGTTAAATAGAATCTTGGAACTAAATGTCAGTTCAATTTACAATGAGAAATGTAATTGCCTCAAAAACTGAAATATTTGTATCTGCTTGACAAGGCCATTTTCTCCCCGAGGACAATCTGCACAGGAAGTCAAATCACAATCAGTGAATTACTGGCTTAATTAATTTATTAATTTACAATGAAACACAGCAGTGAGATTTTGCCTCTGGGACTGGCCAACACTGTTTGGTTAACACATTTTTTCTTATATATGTTAACACATTCAATTTGACATATCTCTGCTCTGCTTCATTGTAGTTTAACTTTCTACAAGCAATCTCACTCTTTTTTTTTTTTAAACAATCTCACTCTTCTTATTTCCCAGTTCTGAAGGGAAGAGTAGAATAGTGATAATTTCTATGTATTCTTAAAAGTCTGTATATAAAATAAAAACATGTGAAATATTTATTATAGTAATAGCTTATTCATATTTCTATGACTATAAGATACCGAAAGAAAAATATGTAATAGAGCAGATAATTTACAAAAAGTTTTGTAATTTAAATCTGAAGAAATAATTCCAAATATAAGAAAAGTTAACAAGTTTAGAGGTTATTTTTGCTTTGTTTATTGTAGGCTGTTTTTTAAGATTTTATTTATTTGTTTGTTTGTTTGACAGAGAGCATGCAAGCACAAGCAGGGGGAGCAGCAAGCTGAGAGAGGGAGAAGCAGACTCCCTGCTGAGCTGGGAGCCCAAAATGGGCCTCGATCCCAGGACCCTGGGATCATGACCTGAGCCAAAGGCAAACGCTTAACGCACTGAGCCACCCAGGTGCCCCTAAACATAACCCTTGAGGAGTTCAGTTATTTCAACTATTATCATATCGTTTACCTCATGGTCATGTTTTCTCTTTTCTTATTATTTATCAGAATTAGGATTTAGGGTTAGATTTATTACAGTGGTATTTATAATAGAGTTCCAACTGTAATAAATTAAAAAAAAAATCTGATTGCAATTTGACCTGGAAGTCCTCACGATGTGGCTGAATTCCTCTAGAAAGGGAATTGATGTTTTCTTTAAGATAATTAGCTTAATGAGGTATTTAGTTACGAAAGAAAGGCACAACCTGGGTATCAGAAGTTTGGAGAAGTAGAGTTAAATTTCTCTGGAAAATTACTGTAACGGATTTTGAATCTTACTCTGGAAGTCGACTACTGTCTACTTAAACTGCATTAGCCTGACAATTTTTATAATTTTATGGATTCCATAATGTAAAAGAAGATCCCTGAAATGTGAAAACAAAATACTGACAAGAAACAAATGAAAATGAAATTGCTTTCATAACTACAAAAACAGCAGAATGTCTCAAATTTATCTATGATACAATTTAGGCCTTGAGAACTGGTTGGCAGAGAGGCAGGGACACCTGAAGTAGATCTTCCTCATGCTTAAAGTTCCAGGCCTGCACAGCAAAGATTTAGACATGAGACTGCCCATGCACATGGACATCAGTTCTTGATACCTTCCTGTTACGGACTGAATTATATTCCCCCAAAATGCATCTGTGGAAGGCCTAACACCCAGTGTGACTATATTTAGAGATAGGAGCTCGAAGGAAATAGGTTAAGGTTCATTGAGACCATCTGGGTGGGGCCCTAATCCAACAGGACTAGTGTCCTGAGGGCACCTTGATCTTGTACTTCAGTGTTCAGAACTCTGAGGGAATAGGTTTGTGTTGTTTATGTCCAGTACCAGTCTGTGGTACTTTGTTCTGGCAACCCCTAGCAGACTAATAATACACTTGTTTCTCTTTTTTTCCTCTTTGTGTTTTTGATTAGTTGTAAACAAAATGAGAAATAGAGTACCTCAATGGGTATAAACTTGAAAATACAGCTTTTTCTTTAATTCATAAATGAGAACCAAGCACCCATCCCTGTTATGTCATGATCTGAACACAGTGAAAAACCTTTAACAAAAAATAATCACTTTGTCACTGAAATGTCTACTTTAAAGGCTTAGAAGTTCTATTTCTTTTTTTTTAAGATTTTATTTGTGTGAGAGAGAGAGAAAATGAGTGGGGGGGAGGAGGGGTGGAGGGAGAGGGAGAAGCAGGCTTCCCAAGGAGCAAGGAGCCCCATGTGGGGCTTGGGGGACTCACAGGACTCGATCCCAGGACCCTAGGATCATGACCTGAGCCGAAGGCAGACGCTTAACCAGCTGAGCCACCCAGGCACTCTAGAAGTTCCAATTCTTATTTTAAAAAACTACAAAAGTATTTATTGAGTACCTACTAGATGTCTCAATAGTAATATTAATTATTCATTTGGCTACCTTCTGTGAATAATATAATACATGTTCTTTTGGTATAGAAATAGTGTTTCTAGGTATAGGTAATAGAGTAGGTAAGAGATTATAACAGAATATAACAGGACAGTTTGGTGTGGGAGATGTTTTGGAATAGAACAGTCATTTTGTAGGAAGAAATTACACCATAAACCATGTGGAGTTCTGGTAAAAATATTGTGTACAGAAACTGAATATTGGTTGGTTCAGGTAAAACAATTTACCTTCCAGCATTTGTAGGAAATGAGAAATCAGAATTACACAAAACTTAATTAGGACGAAGGGTGTTTTTCATTTTGCTAAAGCATTCCCATTAGGATTCCTTTAACCAGTTTGCTTAATGAGCATCTGAAAGGTTGCTGGGATTCAGGTGTTTCACTTGGCAGTGAGTGGGTCAAGCAGATGTGAGTAATTCAGGGGAAGCTGGGAATGAAAGTAACTGGAGAGCCCCAGGAAAGGGCAAGTCTGTAGGTTAAGCCACAACGGGAAATATTTCTTGGACATTTTATGTGCAAGTAACTGTGTGGTTCTAGGGAATTTGGTGTTGAGATTCCCACTGCAGGACAATATGAACCCCTACTTGGACAGGCTTTCATTGACACAAAATAAACGATCTTGTGTTGGTCTAAGACTAAACTGACTGCAGAATGGGAAGCGGGGACCCAGTTCTCTGAGGAGCAGCAGGAAAGCCATTTCACCCTTTGAGGTTGTGGTTGATGAGAAGTGGTGTGTTGGGTCTATTTCACCTGCATTCCGGCCCAGAACTGGATGAATTTCAAATTTTGCTAGTGCAAAAGCTGGAGCTGGAGCTGTACTGATTTTTTTTTTTTTCCTTCTAATTGGCTCTGGGAGGAGTTGGGCTGTGTGAGTCAGCTGGCATAGGGACTCATCGGGGCAAGTGCTAACTGCTGGATCCATTCATCATTTAAAGCTCTATTTCAGGGGCGCCTGGGTGGCTCAGTCGTTAAGCATTTCCCTTTGGCTCAGGTCATGATCCCAGAGTCCTGGGATCGAGCCCCGCATCAGGCTCCCTGCTCGGCGGGAAGCCTGCTTCTCCCTCTCCCACTCCTCCTGCTTGTGTTCCCTCTCTCGCTGTCTCTGTCAAATAAATAAAAAATCTATAAAGCTCCATTTCAGTTCATAAGATGTATGAGTTATTCCCATCTATTGTGTTAGTGGAACGTTCAGTGTTTTAGCAACAATGCCCGGACTCACATAAAGCTTTACTTTAAACACCACAGGTGTGCTCCGCTTAGTCCTAACGTGGGCTGCCCAGAAACGTGTAGTGAGGAGTTAAAAGGAGACACAGTAACAGAAGAGGAACATCAAAGCAGCCAAACCTCATTCAAAATCATTAAAATACAGCCAGGGACTGAAGACAGAATATTAACGGGTAGCTCCTTCCCCTGGGGTCTGCAAGTAAATAACTCCTATTACGGATAACGCAAGTTTCACAGGTATTCCAGGGAGACTGTGTTTCTGGATAATAGATTCGGGGCAGAGACTGGGCACAAGAGCTGAAGTAGTAGTAGTGAAGGTGGAAACATAAATACGGATTAATTGAAAACGCCTTTTTTTTTTAATTTGAAATAACGGAAGTCATACTGTAAGGATTTTTGTCTCCTGAGCGTCTTCAAATTATAGGCCCATTCTAGAAAAGCAAATTGTTTATTACAGATCTCTTTCTCAGGGCACGTGGGTGGCTCAATTGGTTGGCGTCTGTCTTTGGCTCAGGTCATGATCCCAGCATCCTGGGATCGAGTCCCCCATCGGGCTCCCCGCTTGGTGGGGAGTCCGCTTCTCCCTCTCCCTCTCCCTCTGTCTCTCCCCCTGCTTGTGTCCCTCTCTCATTCTCTCAAATAAATAATTTTAAAAAATCTCTTTCTCTCTTTTCCTTCTTTCTCCACACCCTCCATGCTAAGTATTTGTGACATTTACATATAAAAATACATAAAACTAGTGTGGGGTTGTTGAATGGAGTCATAGTTACAAACAGGGCCTTTGGGAATTCGTACATTTTGCTTTGAATTTCTGCTCTTCCATTTATCAGCAGTGAGCTTCAGTTTCCAACCTATAAAATGGGAATAATCATAGTCCCTACCTCCAAGGCTCTTCTGAGGTTTAAATGAGAGAATGTGTCAAAAGCCCCTAGCGCACAGCCAGTGTTCTCTAAATGTTCATTGTTGTTAATTACTTAGTGTTTGGAGGAGAAGGTTTGACTTTGGTCAATTGAATGAGAAAGACCAGAAATCACTTAAGATCGTGCTGAGTCCTCAGTAGAAATCAACTGGAAGACAAATTGATATTTCGTATCATTGTATGAGTTTCAAAATAAGACACCTTAAATTCACATCCTAATTATCAGCATGAACAAAGCACAGTAAGAAATACTAACCAATGACACATTGCTAATTGGTATGTTTAGGACAGAGCCTCACACAAAGTGTTTAATTGTACAGCAGGAATTATTTTTGCTTGACTGAAACACCCTTCCAAGTTGGGTGAGAAAGAGCAGGCAAACGCTTGTGACAAGCACGAGAGCTTCGGGTAGACTTCTCTTCACTGCACATTACTCAAGTTGGTATAACTTGTGCATTTGAACTGGGCATTCAGCATCTATTTTTGTCTAGAGGAGAGAAGCCCTTCTCCCCTAATCTGTGGTCTGGGCTGTCAGACAACTTGTGAACTGAGTCCCCTGGAATTTTCTTCCATGGTCTCTGGGATCAAGGGCATGCTGTGGCCAATGTTGACCAAGGCCTGCTAGCAAGAGAAGAGGCTCCCCAGGTTTTAGCTGTCCCCCAGCGCAGAGCGGCATAGGAAGTCACATCTGATTAAACCATGGACAAAGAGATCCAACTCATCTCCACGTGTTTGCATTCATGGACTAGTCAACATTGCCAGTTTTCTAATAATAAGGACCGTCTGAAGACTGGCTGATTCCTCTACCTCCTCTTTTTTTTTTTTTTAATTTTTTTTCTTGGAGACTCTGGTGTCACACAGGTGCAGACCCAGAGTACCACTGACAATTCTAATTCGTTTCAGCCTTTCTTGGCGCTTTCTCATCAGCACAGTCTTGGGCTCCTGCTTTGTCCTTCAGAGGCTGGATTCTTGTTTTATTAGGCTGACATTTTGTTCTGACCTCTGTTGACAGCTTCTGGCCTCTGGCATGCACTCTGTTGAGTCATTTCTTTTATTTATAACTTAAGTTCTTCAGCTCGGCTCAGACAAACTCATTGATTTGTGATCTGGTCACACTCGCATTGCTCTATCTAATGTAAAATCTTATCTTATTCTCTAGCATCGCTCTTTTTGTCCGTGACATTTATTTGGCTTCTTGCATTTTCATTTTGCTTTTCCTCCTACCCTGATTACAGAATTTACATGTCTGCACGATACCAGCAAGGAAGAGCGGTTCCAGTTCAGAGAGACCACTGTGAAGTGTACCTTATGTGTTTAAAGCACTTTATGGTTTTACAGAGCATCCTTCCCCACACAATACCTTATGTGATCCTCACAACAACCCTGTGAGGTAGGTGTCACGATGTCCATTTTACAGGAGAGGGAATGGAAGGGCTGAGAGACACATGGACACATGACTCAGAATTTACTAGAAACCTAAGACTGCGAAGCTTGGGTTTATGTGTAAACCTTGAAGGAAACGAGAGGTGTGACAATGTGATCTGTTAATTAATAGAGAAACCTACACAAATATCACACTACCCTATATCTTCCCTGTTCCTTTTTTTTTGGTCGGTCTTTTCTTACCTTGTCTCCTTGTCATTTTTATCCCTTTCTTCACCTACACAAAATATCTCCAGGTCTACTGAAATATTTCTTCATCTTCAGGATCTATAATTGATATTTAAAGTGTAATATACAAGGAGCTTTTTAGAATAAAACATTTCAGTATTATTTTTTCATGATCAAAATATTCTTGCTTCAGATAGCCGGGTCATTTAAGGAAACAAGTTCTATTTTTTGGTCTAAATGTGTTGAATGAACTGTCCAAGCTCTACTTTACTTCACTATAAACTTGAAAAAAAAAAAAAAAGGTTGTAATTTGTAGAATAAGAAGACAAGAAGGTAAACTAAGCTAATCAAAATCAATTTACTTTTTAATATTTTAAGGAATTTAATAATCTTGATCTCCTCCAAACACCTCTAGAGCCCTATTCCTCCCCTTATAAAATTCTGCTGTATTGTAGAAATTGCCCATTTACATGTTTAGGGCTTCCAGGGACAATTAGCTCTATAAGGTGAGAGGCAATAGTCATCTTATTAGCTCCTATGTCCAGCTCCAGGAGGTATGCAATGAACATACGCTGAGTGAATGAATGAGTGAATTAACAAATGCATTTTCTTTTATGTATCTTATCACTTATTGAGAGTATTGTTTTTAAACGTCAAGAACCCACATAGAATCAGTATCCAAGAGATGTCTCCTAGAACCCAATGGGTTAAATTGGGTTCAAAAAACATGAGGTGAGTGGATGGCAGAGGGCTTCTGGCCTGGCTCTGAGAACTGGCATGAGCAGCCCACCAGTCAGTACATGGGAAGCATCCCAGCTAAGGGCGCTAGGAGATGGTGGTGATGGTGGGGTACTGGAGTGGGGAGAGGTAGGAACGTGAGAACAGAGGCCCAAACAGCACAAAGGACCAGGAGAGAAAGCCATGTGGAAGCTGCACACCACACAGGAACCAAAGCCATTTGGGGGATCTTGGAGTTGGTTGTGCTGATGACTTGTCCAGAGGTGAAGGGCCTTAATGAGATGGTAGCAGAGGGTGTCTTGCCCAACCCACCTGATCTTAAAAGGGCCCTGCCCAAATACGATCAGGGGGTTGTACCGGTCCTGACATATATATATATAAAAGAGGAAATCAGTGATTATTCTTTTTATATTTAAATCATGCCTGAAAAATATTAAAATTATATATTAAAATAACTCAATATAAATTATTCTTTATCAGAACTAATTAAAGATGGGGAGAAACAGGCACTTTCATGCAGAATAAATTGGTACAACCTTTTTGGAGCCATTTACAAGAAACCATCAAATTGTAAAATGCATGTCACCTTTGAACTATTGACTCTACTCCTGGCAAATCCTCTATTATAAGATAGTTCCACAAGGTCATGTATGAGACTGCTGAATGTAGCATTGCTTATTAAAGCCAAACCATGGCCAACAAAAATCATCAAGTGTTCATGACTAGGGAAGACTGATGTATTATGGGCACTATGGTATACCCATATAATGGAATATTGGATAGTCATTGAGAGAAAAGAACTAGAGCCACATGTCCCGACATGGGCAAGTGACTGACATACTAACTTCAATCAGGTAAAAGCAGAACATACTGTATAGATGTTTGTGTCTATGATTCTTTCTTTTTGAAACATTATGGAGTTATATATACTCTCTATAGGGGTGGTGCATGGAGGGAAATCTGGAGGCCATAAACACTTATACACAGAAATATCTCTATTGTTGCTTTCACAAAGAAAGTATGAGCATAAAGTTCAAAACAGCCATGAAAATATCTATAGCTGAAAACATTTCTGAACAAATCTGAAAAAAACATTCAAAGCATTTGATAACCTCATGTACCAGAAGACCGGGTGGGTGTTCAGTTTAAAAGACTGCAAAACAGAGAAGTTCTTTACTTGCCAAGCTTACCCAGAGTCAAGGTTAAGTAGCTCAGGAAAGTCTCAGGAAAAGGAGAAAAAGAGATAAAAACCACATCAAAGATAAAGATAAAGGCAGAGATAAAGACAGAGATAAACAGGAAGATAGAGAAAAGAAGTTACACAATGAGCTCAAGTGAAAATAACTGGAGTGACAAGGAGAAAGGAGACCAGGTAGGATAGAAAGTATTACAGCAGACAAAAGTAATCACATTAAAGAAATGGACAGGAAGGAGAAAAGGTATACTAATGTTTCCATTATCTTACTATAATAGTAACAACACTAATAAGCACTGAAAGATGCTAAAGCACTGTGAGGAGACACACAATAATGTTGTTCAATTTAGGGGCGAGAGCCACCAGCAATGCAACAATTGTGAAAAGCATGTACTTGAATGGCTAGCATTCAAGGTGGTGAATCTAAATTGTCTAAGGGCCGTATCCATACACACTACAGGTTAAAATAATTCTGCCATAAGGGAGAGAAATTGGTACTATATTTTTTCTAAATCTTTTTTTTTTTTTTTTTTGATTTTATTTATTTGACAGGGAGAGAGACAGCGAGAGAGGGAACACAAGCAGGGAGAGTGGGAGAGGGAGAAGCAGGCTTCTTGCCCATCAGGGAGCCCGATGCAGGGCTCGATCCCAGGACCCTGGGATCATGACCCGAGCCAAAGGCAGACGCTTAATGACTGAGCCACCCAGGCGCCCCGGTACTATATTTTTAAATAATAACTACAACAGAAAAATGCTAGATTTTTGGTACATTAAAGAATTAGCCATAATCTGTCTAAAGCAGACACTGTTTGGGTAGAGATTAGGATCACTCTGTAGTGGCAGCTATCCCCAGATAGTAGCTATCTCCTGCTGGGAACGCAGGACAGGGGATTCCTCAGTTCCTTTTCATAATCCTTTCACTTGATCTGTGTGGATTCAGCCTAATACACAACAACCGACTTAGAGCATGGCGTGTTGATGACATCCCATCTAACATTTTGTTTTGAAGGGCCAATATGTATGAGGTCAGCATCCGATCAACAGAGCTCCCTGTGTCAAATCTATTCTGCTGCAATTTTGAAAGTCTAGGATATAGAATGCAACTTTTCAAGTTTTTAGTAAAACAGAACAAAACACAAAAACCCCAGCCATCAGAGAATTGGTCGGCCAGGGTTCTCAGATTGTCCAACTTCCTAGCTGGAGTCTTTCAGTTTGCTCAGTCAGTAGGTAAGGAGGTACAATTGTTTCTGTTCATAAACTTGATTTTCCTTCAGTAGATTGAAAGTGGCTTGAAAATTGAACAATTTTCTATGTGGAATTTTTAGAAAATTGTGCTCATCAGGAAAACAAAATACAAATGGGTAATGAGACTCAGAGTTGTATAATTTAATCTATTTGTTTTACTCCAATTAGCATGCTTTATTTGGAGAAAACTGTGGCTGACTTCCACAGAACCTCTATGGATTGATGCTGAAGTTGCCCACACTCTCCTTGAGTCCAGACCACTATGATCACAGGCTTGTTTATTATAAGGCACACATAAAAACAATGAAACATAAACTTACTTAGTATGCTTCCACTCCCTTTGTCCCCCTTCTGGCCTTTTGGTCCAGGATTTCCTTGAAAACAAACAAACAAAAAGCAACATTTTTTTTTTGTAATCAGGGCAATTTAATTATTAAAAAAAAAAATAACTGTTGTAAATGGAGACAAAGATGAATTGCTTTAAATGGAGACAGAGCATCACAAGGTAACCCGGAATATCAACTTACCATATCCTACTGTATTCAAATACAATAATGTTGATGTTGATAATAATAATAATGGCTATCATTTTATTTTCACTATTGAAAAATTTTTTAAACTTATTTAAATTCAATTAGTTAACAGATAGTGTATCATTAGTTTCAGATGTAATGGCTATCATTTAAAAAGTCCTATTAGAAACCTGTCCTTGTTCTGGGTAAGTCCCTTTATCCATTATCTCAAGTTATTTATAAGGGCATTAAATATCCCATTTTCCTAAAGCAGACAAAACTGAGGTACAGCACTTTTTGTGCTTATTCATCTTGTTTTTTCCTCTTCTTTGACTTTGCTTTTCTCCCTCCTCCAGGAAGTTTCATGTCCTATCATCTCATCTGAAACCTTGATTCTATATTTTCCATTACACTTTATCTGGTTTTACATTTCTTTAGAGGGGAGAATCCCAAAGATGGGCTGTGAATGAATTTCTGAGAATGCTAAGATCCTGATGACCTCATCCTGGGGGAAACTTAGAAGGTCTCAAGGGCATCCAAGGCTATAGGCTACTTCCTTTGGCTTTGAGAAACCTCACCTGTTTACAGAAGGGTGTGGTACAAATGCTATCCTTTGATTTGAGGGTCAGGACTTCAAATAGGTACTGGAAACATTGTTAAGACCTTTGATGACTGTTCACGCACAGCTCCACTTTCGAAGGTATATCCAGAAGATCACGTCTTAGTACCAACAAAAAGATTTTAATGGTAACCATGTCATCTCCTGAGAGTGGGGCTATTCTTGTTTATTGATTCTTCTTCCAGCATTCCTCAAATATTTACCTTGCAAGTAATCACCTTTCTTGGCATAAATGTAGGGCTGATCCTAGTACTCTCTTAAGTCAGAATCTTTGTTAATGTTCTTGACTTCCCCCAACAAAATCAAGACCCTCTGTCTTTTCATCCAAGAGCTCAGAGGACATAGTTTCAAATCCATGGCTTTGTAATAGCATACTAACAGCAATTTTAGAAATCTCTATTTGAATTATTTTGCTCTGCTACTTACCAGGTATGTGGCTCAAAACAAGTTTTCAAATCTTTCTGAACTAAAAGCTTATTTTTCTATCAAATGAAAAAATAACACCTTCCATTGCACAGTTACCTTAAAAATTAGCAACAGTGTTTATAAAGCATCTTGCCCATGAAGAGATGAATAGAAGAGATGGTAGCTCTTACTGTTTTACATCTTCCAAAGCTTAGCTAGTATTTTCAATAACATCATTATGATTTCAAGTGTTTTTAGTGCCCCTTCTATTAGCTAGACGCTAGGTTAGTTATTTTTACAGATCTGTCATAATTAGCCCAGCTGTTTAGCTATTTCTTTTTCTTTTTTTTTAGATTTACTTATTTATTTATTTGACACAGAGAGAGAGAGAGAGAGAGAGAGAGAGAGGGAACAGAGCAGGGGGAGTGGGAGAGGGAGAAGCAGACTCCAGGCTGAGCAAGGAGCCCAATGCGGTGCTCGATCCCAAGACCCTGGGATCATGACCTGAGC